AGAGTGTTGACAAGTCACAAGAACCCTATTACAAATGAAAACGCAGGTGCTTCATAAGAAAAGGGGATGACTCTTTTTTTTGTGTTAGCAGGCTGCTTATTTTACAAGAGGGAAACATTGATTTTGCAAACTTGCTGGTTTCTCTACAGCATGGACTTTAATTTGTTTAATAAAACAGCAGGGACTTTTCGTAAGGTCATGGTATAATATGGATTCCTAGTATCTCGTATAAAATATGGTTACCTGTGTCTGTTCTGATTACCAAGAAGCTTTTCTGTAACAACATCTCCATAGGAACTACCTCAGTCAGAACAATTGCTTACTCCACAGCTTCTGTAACCTGCATCGTAAAGATTACTTGGTAACAATGTTGAGGATCTTTATGGTGGTAATTTGAATTGTCTCCATGGAGCTTCTCCTAGCTGTCAATTTGAACTGCACACAGTACAAAACTGTCAGTTCGTGCAAGATAATGGTGTGTCTAAAAAGAGCACAAGAACAGACCAATAAAGTCTAGTCGGTAACGGCAATTTATATTGGTCTAATTTCATAGGCAGTTGGTCTTGAGGAAGAAGCGTGAAGAATTTAAGTAAGTCATAATTGTTTAAACCCTCTATTGACTTTTCAGCATGAAAACAAATTATAGCTGGTTAGGGAAGGCTAGCTGAGGTTACCAATAAAAGCATTTATTTTTCAAAGAATTTTAAAAAATATGGCTATAGCCCATATAGATTTTATGGAACCAAAAGAAGAAAATCTCCATGGGCCAAGCACGTTCCTGATGTAACATAGGGATTCTTAGAAACTCATTTGTTTGTAGAAAAGCAAACAAAAATCCAAACCTTTCTCTGGCATTTTTAAGCTTTCTATACACAGCTCTATCCTGCTGAGTACAGAGATTTTTTTGCCACAGGGCTTTTCCCTCTAAGGTAGTAGAATTTATTTGTTTTATACCTGTTAAACCTACTATTCATTTAATACCTATTTTACAAGAATAGGCACACTCACTAGTTCCTGGTATGAATATCTATCTTGGAATGAGTGCCTTTTCTTCCCATTTTAGCTTTTTCTGTTGAGGGAGATACTAAATGAAAAATCAAGATGCCCCCTCTGGGGAGCTGGTTTGTGCAACTATATTGGGACAGTTGTGCTTGTAACTTTCTTACGTGGACAAATCCTTGGAGATCTTCCTGTTATTCCAGCTGCTCCATAAGGTTTTGTATTTTAATGCTGATAGAAGTTATAACAGAATGCTGAGAAATTAAATAAAAGCAAGGTCTACACTGAATGAAAAAAAAGAGTAAAATGAAATTATCCAATGAGAATTTATTTTCCCCTCAGTTTTCAAAGGTACAAAAGATCCCTTGGTAGCTGTTCTTTTGAATTTAAATTATCTTCTAGAGAATTGGTTTTCCCCCCCCTATATCTATGTGGTTATTGTATTTCAGGAAATACTGTCAACTGAAATTTAATAGTATCAGATGGTCACATAAACTCATCAAATGCTTCACCTTCTTACCAGTATCAAGTTCAATAGCTTCATTTTAAAGTTTTCACAGATTTTATTTCTAGTTCTAGTACAAAACTTATATTTGAGTTTATTCCTTAAGCT